ATTGACTCAAGGAAGCTTTACTCTCTGCTGAGTTTGTTTGGCTGGTGCGTTGAGACATGATTTTTTTTTTTTTTACAAATCCCTGCATCTGAACAAAAAAGTTGACTCCATTAAGGTTCAATTTCTTGCAAAACGGCTCTCATAAGGAAGAAGATGGAACGCTTTTTTGCAATTGAACATGAAATATTTTTTTTATTTCATGTCTCTAAAAATTTGGCATGAAGATTCAACATTTTGCAACTGAAAGTGTAAAAATTTATCATCAAGTGTCCATATTTTAAGATGGAACGTTGTCACTGTCTCACTGATGCAAAAATCACTTATATCAAAAGTAACTTGTTTCTAAATGATATATTATTATATTTTATTTTGTTTATTGTAGGCTGATATTATTGGGTATGATGGAAAAAATTTATTTAAAGGAAATTTTTTGTTATTTCATTTTGGTGGAGATATTGTAAAAGATATGCATGGGAAAATGCATTATGATGGGGGGAGTTATAATAGGAGAATGATTAGAGAAGGAATGTCTCTTGAAGGACTTGTTTGGTTAATTTCATCATGCTTGAATTGTGATTTAAATGAAATAGAGTTGAAGTACATAATAAAGTTTGATTGTAATGCTCTTTTAAACCTTAAAGATGATGAAGGGATAAATCAATTAATGAAATTGAATGATAATTTTGCTCATGTGTACATCAATGGGAAGATACAGCAAAGTACAGAGGCAATAAGAGATTCAATTGATGGGTAAGTTTTTTTAATAGTTGCATGATTAATATTATGCTAATATGAATATGAATAGTAGTAATAAACATGATTTGAATGGAAATGCAGAGTAGGATGTTCAGCTGGGAATTCACATGCTACACAAGATCTTGAAGTTCTACTATGTGCAATACAAAGTATCCCAACACCAATGCCTGAGCTAAATGCAACAAAGTAGAAGGAGAAAATATATAGTGGCACTATGCATCCTATTGAAACCTATGACATGCCAAAGCCAAATGCGTTGATAGTGTCTGAGCTCATGAACCAAACCTTTTTGCTGCCTCTTAGAACATCTCAACCAGCTGGCAGACCTTGTCGTGTGAGGATCGAGTCTCAACATCAACAAAAGAAGCTTTATCATTATTCTCGCTGCAATAAAGTAGGTCATACGTGGAAGAGGTGTAGAAATCCAAATCCAAGTTGATGTTACTATAAATGGGTCAACACATGAACTTGGATTTGGGTGACATACACATATGAGTAGTTTTAGGGTTTTTTTTGGCATATAGTAGCCCCTTTTTTGTAAATCCAAGTTGATGTTTCTATAATATGAGATTAGATCAACTTGGATTTGGTTGACATGTATAGGTTTATGTAGATATATATTGGTATTATTAGGGGGATTTTTTAGTACATACCAACCCCTCGTTTGTAAATCCAAATTCATGCTTTTGTGTATGTGGACAGTTAATATGTGCAGATGCATTAGATGAATTAATACATGTTTCTTACATGTACAGTTCATATCTTCTATAATCACTAAAAGGGTGTCGTTTTAAAATTTCGATCAGAGGTAGGAAATTATTCGTAAGGAAGTTACAAAATTTGGTATGTTAGTTGTAAATTACTAGAGCCATGTCAAAAAATAATTTGGTAAGTTTGCAAGTTCAAGAATTAAATAATTCTTCGATCCAAAATTTCATGTACGAGTTGCAAATTATTTCCAATGAAGTTGCAAAATTTGGTGTCTCAATTGCAAAATACTGAAACATTGTCCTAAAAGAATAACTCTTGTAGGAATCTAATAGTTCTTCGATTCAAACTTTCGAATACCAATTGCAAATTGTTCCTAAGGAAGTTGCAAAACTTGATGTCTCAGTTGCAAATTACTGGAACATTGTCCCAAAAGAATAACTTTTGTAAGAATTTAATAGTTATTCAATCCAAAATATTGAGTACCAGCTGCAAATGCTTCCTAAGAAAGTTGTAAAATTTGGTATTTCAGTTGCAAATTACTAAAACATTGTCCTAAAAAATTTAACTTTTCTACAAATTTAATAGTTTTTTGATCCAAAATTTCGAGTACCAATTGCAAATTATTCCTAAGAAAGTTACAAAATTGGGTGTTTCAATTGTAAATTACCGGAATATTGTCCTAAAAGAATAACTCTTGTAGGAATTTAATAGTTCTTTGATCCAAAATTTCGTGTACGAGTTGTAAATTATTCCAAAAGAAGTTGCAAAATGTAGTGTCTCAGTTGCAAATTAGTAGAGCCATGTTGTAAAAGATTTAACTCTTGTAAGAATTTAATAGTTCTTCAATCCAAAATTTTGAGTATCAGTTGCAAAATTTTCCTAACGAAGTTGCAAAATTTGATATTTCAGTTGCAAATGACTGGAGCTTTGTCCTAGAACAATAACTTTCTTAAGAAATTCAATAGTTATCCCACCCAAAATTTTGACAAACAATTGCGACATTGGCTATATATAATTGATTTGGTTGCTTGTTCAGCTTGCTTGATAGTCACAAAGAGTGTTTTATATCACTTCACTTGTCCTGAAATGATAATGAAATTAGAAAATTCCATGATTCATTTGTTACATTGAATTGGATCACCATATAATTAAAGTAATATAAGTAGCAACCCAGTTGTTTCAATTGGCAAGAAATACACGTTATATAGATAATTTTCGCCACTCGCATTGAATCATTGGCTTCTATAAGACCATTGAATTTTCCTTCATTTTTTTTAGAAACTCTTTCTTGAAGTTGTCGTATCCAAACTTCTTTTTTGTTGTAGCTTTCTTGTTGTCCATAATTTCTTGGTGTCTCAATTGCAAATTACTTTTTTCTGGTCTGCAATAAAAGAAAATAAACAGATTCAGCCAAATGTTACACCCAAAAACACACCACATATAGATACACTGTTATGGAATAGTGAACATGTAGGGTGGCAACTTTTATTGGATTAATTAAAATTTTGGGAAATATGAAGAAGGAGAAAAAGGATAGCATAAATTGCAAGTAGTTTATCACACCTGATGCTGCATCCAGAGTTAGACGCATGCTCAATTTTAACAAACTAATAGTGGTCATTTTTGAAAACATCAGGCCACTATAATTACCAAAGGTACCTTTTGAAAATTTATGCTTAAGAAAGAAATCATCTTAGTTTCTCTAGAATCTATTTGCAATCCAATCCATTAATGACCTAAATTCAGTTTTCTGACTTCTAAGAGTACTTAAAGGGCACCATTCATAAGGTGATATGCAATAAAAATCCTCAATACTGACACTCCCACCATTCATAAGGTCATGATTAGACTAGAGGATTCAATGGTTTTAAAACTTGCTGTTAAGTTACTTAAAACTGAGTTTTGTTCTTTTTTATAACATCAATAGTATTGGCAGTTTAGCTGGCATTGGTAGTAAATTTAACATAAGTAACAATTTTGTGACTTGAATAGCAACAGGATATGGTAGCATAATTTTTATCTCCTCTATTTCTGGTGTGAAAGCTCTACCTCTCTTGTCTGCCTATACAGCATCTAAAGGTATTTTTGCTATTCCTTACCACACTTGACTATAATATATATATCAAGGTAAGCTTGAGAAAATTGACACAAAAAGCTGAGAAATATCCATATTTCAAAAAAACAAAGCAGTGTATCTAATCATTTATGTTAGGTATGATACTATACTTCAAGGTAGCTTCAAACACTATATGTCTTAAATTAATACGTTATCTACATCATGTTATGTTTTAAACTCGTTGCTTATGTATTAGAAATCAAAAGCAAAGGTAACTAATCTATATAGTTTCATTCTGGGGCTATGAATGAAGTCACAAAGAACTTGGCAATGGAATGGGCAAAAGATAACATTAGTGCAAATGCAGTAGCACTAGGACCTATGATGACTTCAATTTCGAAATCTAACATGGTATAAATATGTGCCTAATTACTTTCATCTTCTTGATGTTTTTTATATTCTACAGCTCTCTTGAAATTATTCATATAAAAAATACAAGATACACTTACTAAGAACCCAACTGCTTGTCTTATGTGCTTCAGCTCATCCCAAGATGATCCAACACACTGCAAAATCCAAGGCAATTACTTGGAAATCAGAGCCATGAGCCATCATAGAAATCCATAAACCAATCCAAAAGCAACACTTGGCAACTATAGGGCATCACATCACTTTGTAATAGCCCAACTAAACAATATAAAACAAGACCTAATAGCATAAGCAAGCAGCAAAGAATAGTATTATGTATGCTATTCATTGTATAAATCTACATACTGTCATGTGTTTAGTGTATCAATGTAAAACACATCAAATTACATAACAAGTGAAGATGAAGAGCACAAGTCTAGTCAGCACAACATTCAACTATTGGCAAAAATACTGGTGATGTTAACAAAGGTTTGAGGTAACATTAGCAAACTGTAAGGGAGAGGTGATAGTGGTGGCAGTGGCAGCCGTGACAGTGGTTTGCTTGTAAGTATGGTGTTTATGGTTGCAACAGCAGTGGTGGACAAAAAAATAGCGATGAAAGCAAAGATGGTATCAACAATGACAATTGGTGATTATGGAAACAGAGTATAATGATATATTAACAAATGGAAACAAAAATTTAGTTTTTATATTAAAAACTTTATATAGTTCTTATCAGGACCTGCCCCACATCTTAGGTATATACTGTTATATAGTGATAGCCATATAATGGTGATAGCCATATAAAAATTATGCAGGCAGAATCGATAAAGACAACAAAGCAAATGCACTAGAAATTATGCAGGTAGAATCGATAAAAAAAAGGAATATAATTGGGAGAAATAGCACACAAAATGATAGATGCAAAATCTCTTCTCTAAACAATAAAGATGAGAAGCACCATCTCGCAATGTCCAGTCAAACATATAGACTTACAGCAGAGAGAAGACAAAGAAGAGACAAATAGCTTCCTTATTCAATTGATCGCTGGTGTTTGTCGCTAGCGGTTATGGCAAAGAAGAGATCAACAGCTTTCCTCTACTCGATTGCAAGTGATCGCTTAAGGCAGAAAAGAGAACGATCGCCGGTGTATGTTGCTAATGGTAGGGCAAGGAAAGAATGGACAGCTCTTCTCTACTCAGTTGCAAGAGATCTCTACGGTAGAGAAAAGAACAACCAAGCTCAAATTCATTGGCCAAATGAGGGCATTTTTGTCCTTTTTCATTATATGAAAATACTACTTAAGGACTTAGGACTTCATTGGCATTTTAGAATTACTTGAGAGTTAACTAGTATAAAATTGGTCTTTTGGGACTTGATTGTCATTTCCCTTTTTTTTATATACACGAACTAAAACTCTCTTTTTTTCCCCTTTTTAAGAGCAAATTGTACAGTGATGATATAGTGGACTACAGCTGGCGCTAACGTTGGTGGTCATATAAAAGCCTCACAAATTGAATGGCTAGGAAACGCAGGTAAAAGTAAAAGGGAGAGACCTCGGCTAGCGGTCCCAAGACTATGGCCATGCACAATAAATGTGGGCCCATCAGTGGCCATTAATTTAAGGGTTAATGTTTAATTTTATTTTTATATTTATTTTTTAGGAGTGATAGGTATCATATATTTTTAAATGAGATAATTTTATTTTTGAATTATTTTTTTGAGGAGCAAAAATATTTTTGTTAAGGAACTGTTAACTTTATCATTATATGTTGACATGACACGTGCATGGGGCCACGCACAGTGATAGGTATGATTCTGACTAGATCCTTTAATACTAATTTATTCATAAACTCTTTTTTCAAAAGCGCTGAGCACCTTAAAATCTTTTTTAAAGAGCATTGGGTACTTTAAAGTCTTATTAAAATAAAATTTAATAAATATTACAAAATATAAAATATTTTCACATTTAATAATTTAAATATTATTATTTATAAATATTCATTCAAAATTTATGAATTACTTTTAAATATTAACAACTCAAATTAACATTTTATAAATTTATAAATGACTTTTTATCGATCTTTAATTTTTTTTGAGACAGTACATAAATTATTATGCTTTTTTCTACGTGTCGAAACTTACTTATATTTTTAATTTTAATATCAGTTAAGTTTCTTTTTTTTTTGTTAACTAACAATTTTCCTCTAAAATATTGCATAATCTAAATTTAATACTCTCTATATGATTTAGTATTAGGAGTAAAATCAGATATATAACAATTAGGACCAACAAAATGGCAACAAAAAATGTTTATTTGAAAGATATCATTTGCTTCATTGATGTATTACAAAAAAAGTTACTTAACAAGAAAAAAAAATGAAGAGATGAAAAGGAAAAATCCCTTCATTAATTTAGAGATTCATTCACTTCATTTTTAATACAAAATTAAAAAAATATTAAAATAATAAATTGGGTGGTATAATGTTTTAGATAATAATATTTAAATACTTAATAGTTTAACAATATTTATTAAATTTTATTTTAATAAAACTTCAAGGTATCTAACACTTCTAGAAATAAACTTTAGGGTGCTCAGTGGTATTGAAAAAAGAGGGGCAAATTAACACAAAGTATATGGTTAAAGTCATACATGTCATTATGTATGGGCCCCACACATATATCACGTTAACATATAATGGTAGGGTTAACGGTTCATTAATTGAGGGGGGTTTTTTGTTCCTCAAAAAATATAAGGTGCCTAACATTCTTAAAAAATAAATATAGAGGTAAAAATGAACTTTAACCCTTAATTTAATTTGTGGTCATCTTATGGACCCACAAAATTAATTCACAAACCATTAAATGACGTTTATCATTTTTTTTAATTTCATGTATGACGAGTATATTTCTGGCTAAATGAAAAAGTTATATGCTATAAAATATTTTGTTTTTTTATATACATTAATAAATTATTTAGTTGTATCATCCATGCATGCTGTGAACATATTGCTAGTTTAATCAAAATTTTGATGTACTGTAGAAAATATTTTACTTTCTATGTATTGATAAATTTGTGTGGATTATACTTAAATTTTACCCTAACTTAATTCTTTTTTATTTTTGGGGGGAGGGTGGGGGAAATACCCCACACATATTACCCGCACACTAGAGCTTGAAACCACATTGTAACCTCTTCTTTCAAAGAAGAGTTTTGGTGACATTAGGCCAAGATCCAAGAGGCCTTTTTTTCTTTTTTAACCTGAATGAGAAATGCCATGCAAAAATCATGCAAAAGACAATCATTAAGTTATGTCAGTGCTCGAAAAGCTATTGCACCCTAAGGATAGAACGTCTAAAATCTTAATATTTAAACTATTACTAAGAGCTTGCATGCGCAGTTATTGACTTATATATATACATGATCAAAAATAATCATCTAGCCTCTAATTTAATGATTGCTTCAGAAAGAGGATGATTGTTGTTGAAGGCAGGGTGGATGAGTGAAAGAGCTTCAATAGAGTCTGAGTAAACATTGATTTTAGAAAACTTGTTATTTCAACAAAGGTTGAGCCCTTCAAGAATACCTAAGAGTTCAACTATTATGCTAGGATAATAGCCAAGATATTTAAAAAAATCTTTTATCCAATTCCCTTTTTCATCACAGATGAGGCCTTTGGCTTTGTGTGCATGGCATTAGCTTCTGTGCTTAACAAAGTGATGAGAACAAGATCTAGATCATTTATATTTAATTAAGAGAGTATAGATTTAACATTTTTAATTTGAAATGTCTTTTAGAAAATCATTTTTTGTAATTATTTGTTAGAATTTTAATTATCTTTTTCTTTATTTTTTATTTACTAGAATAAAAAATTATAAAAATTATAAATTTTTTTGATAAATTAGCTCATCACCGATCTAGACACTCTAGATTTAATCTATACAGTTCAAATTTAACATTTAAAACTTTTATAATTTTTGTACATTAACTTTTCCTATTTAATATTAAACATTTTTATTTTGGTAAATACAATATAAAGAAATAAAGACAACTTCTTAACTAGAATTTTGTAGAAAATAATACAAGTAAAAGCTTTAAATCTAGACCAACTATATTAACTATGAATGGCTCAGGTCTCCTCACAGTGATGAATACCATGTTCATCAACAAAATGACGACTAAAGGTGGACTGTGTGTGTATAGCTTTAGCCCTTGAGTATCCTGTATATATTATGGTAGATAAAACACAACTAGGATTACTATTGTGTTATGGGACTAATTATATCTTACCAACTATATTAGTTAGTGTTTGAATTCTCCACCCACCGCTACAAAAAAAATTAACTTTTAGCGGTGACAAAAAGTCAAAAAATTGCCACAATGTCGCCGCGAGAGCTCTTGTTGCTGATTCAATCTACGATGATAATAAAAGTCATTGCTGAAAGTTAAGAATCTGCGGTAACATTTGTCACTGCCAAAAGTCAAAAAGTCGCCACTGAAAGTTTTCAATAGCGACAAAAAGTGGCCATAATGTCGCCGCAAGAGCTCCTGTCGCTGATTCAATCTACGGTGATAATAAAAGTTGTCACTGAAAGTTGAGAATCGGCGATGACAAATGTCACCGTAAAAAAGAAATTTTATTGTAGCCAAATGATAGTCGCCGTTGAAAGTTAAAAATTGACGGCGATATTTTGTTGCCGCAAAAACCACACGTCAATGGTGACTATTTTTGTCGCTGCTAAATGTTAAGTATTAATGGCAACATTTGTTGCCGCGAAAGCTTCTAAAAAGTAATGTTAGTTCACTTACACATATGGCACCACGTCACTGTCCACATGGTGCCCCACCTCACACCACGTGGCGCCATGTCATGTGTCGCTCTTACCACACGCCACATGGCGCCATGTGATCTTTCACGTGTCACCCTCACCTCATGCCATGTGGCGCTATGTCACTCTCCGCGTGTCGCTCTCACCACATGCCACATGTCATCATTTCACCAATTTATATTTCAATTTTGAAAATTGTCTCCTCCAAGGTTTGAACCCGTAACTTTCTCCTTTTGTGTTCAAACATTTTACCACTGAGCTGGAATAAACCTGTAGTCTATTATTGCATAATTATATATATATATATATATACATGTACACATATTATTAAACTATACAAACACACATGTATATTAAATATTAAATTTTATAAAATATCATTACTATCTTTAAATACTTCAATTTAATTCTTTTGATTTATAAAATTATAAATTATATTATTTATTTTTTTTAAAGTAAACTATAAATATAATTGATACAATATCATTTGTACTATTTATTTTAATTTTTTTTACTTCTTGAGGTTGTTATATTATTTATTTAATATTCATATTTATAATCATAAAATAAAAATATCTAAGAATAAATAGTAAAAATACTAATGATTATACATTAGTTTATAATTATTTATGTTTCTAAACTAGCATCAAGATTTAAAGTTATTGGTGTTAAATGTAGAATTTAAATTAAAAAATTAGATTAGATGAAATATCATTCTATGAATGAATAAATTTAAGTATCAAATGTTTAATTATTATAAACAAGTAGTGTTATTGACTTCTACATTAATCTGATGACTTATGCTTTCTCTCTCTTCTTTTCTATCTTGAATATTTAAGATTTTTTACTTATTAGTTATAATTTTAAATTTAATTTGTTTTAGTTATTAATTAGTCAAAAAATATATATTAAAAATTTCATGCTTATTTTGGCCATTAAACATTTTAACTAGCTTTTGAATAAAATTATCTAAATAAATTTTAGTTTATTTAATAGACCTCTAAAAAAAAAACATATTCAAACATAAATCATATTACATTTACTGACTTTTTTCTAATTTTAGTTCGCTAACCTCGATTAAATCTTAACCTTAGTTGTAAATTTTTTAATACAAACACACACGTAAAATAATATGATTTGGCTTAATTCTTTACTTTATCTCATTAGTATTAAATAATACCTTAACCTTATCTTAAAGTTATAATTTAACCATAGAATATATTAAATGAAAACTCATTATGTTATTTTACATAGTCATTATAAAATTACAATAATACAACAAAATTAATGTCTTAAAATGTTAAATATTAGATAAATAAAAATTAAATTTTTTGATGATAATACAAAATCAAACTTTTAATGGCGACATTCAAAGTTGCCGCTAAAAGTC